CTTGATGACGCACGAACTGCTTCCAAAGTGATATTAGGAAACATTGAGAAAACATAGCCTATTCTCAACAGGAAAAAAATACATTTTTTTTACAGACCCCGACGTGAATATTTTTATTTTAGAATAAAATTAGATTTGAAAATTGCTATTATTTTGATTGCTTCCAGTGAAAACATTTTTCTGGTTATAGGTTTTACTTGTAATAGTTGGAAGTGTTCCTCAAAGATTTTTAGCATTTATTTTCTAATTATAATTGAAATATCTAGTCTTTTCATATTTTATTAAGGAAAGGCATGTTCTAATGTTCAGTGAAACATTTTGAAAACGGCTCAACAATAAATAAATAAATCTTGAAGTGAAATTAGTTCTTATTTTACAGTTATTAAAAATATATCTAAACTTCATTAATATTATGTCTTCGAAAGGTATTCTCACGTTGTTGCATTTCAATACTTGTATTCCCATACCCGACACTGAAATCTGAAAAAAAAATCCCTGTAAAACATAAAATGAAAGTTTGGCCTGAGGTTTAAATGCACGTCGTGTGTACTTCAATATTTAAATAACAAAAAGAAAAATGATAGGTAAAGAACATAAGTATTGAGCTTTATGTCCAGCAGTAGTGTGCGATTTATAGGTAAAGAACATAAGTATTGAGCTTTATGTCCAGCAGTAGTGTGCGATTTTCCCCTGTTATCCATAATATTATTCTCCGGGAAGAAAAAGTTCTCATGCTTAAATAACATATTCCATCAGACATTCTATAGACATCAGGGAATGAAATGTGTCAGCCTGAGCCAAGAAATTTTGGTAACGTAAGCCTGAGCTAGGAGACTTCAGTAGTGTCAACCTCACCTGGGAGACTTCAGTAGTGTCAGCCTCACCTGGGAGACTTCAGTAGTGTCAGCCTCACCTGGGAGACTTCAGTAGTGTCAATCTGATCTAAGAGACTTCCGTAGTGTCAGCCTCACCTGGGAGACCAGTAGTGTCAGCCTCACCTGGGAGACTTCAGTAGTGTCAGCCTCACCTGGGAGACTTCAGTAGTGTCAATCTGATCTAAGAGACTTCCGTAGTGTCAGCCTGAGCTGGGAGACTTCGGTAATGTCAGCCTGAGCTGGGAGATTTCGGTAGTGTCAGCCAGAGCTACCTACCTGAAGTCTACCTGGATACCTGGAAGGTGTTCCAGGGATCAATCCCCCCGCGGCCCGGTCCATGACCAGGCCTCCTGTGTGAGACTGTGGGAGATTTCATTAGATTCAGCCTGAGCTGGGAGACTTCAGTAGTGTCAGCCTGACTTAGGAGACTTCAGTAATCTCAGCCTGAGCTGGGAGACTTCAGTAGGGCAATAAAAATATCGTAAACATTCCAGAATGGGTTCAGTAACTAAGGCAGGTTTGTTACGTGCCGTGCTGGGGTGACTATTACGTGGGAATTACCGACCAAGCAACGTAAACGAAAGCCTCACCGGTAAATAACAGAAGGTTAAGAAACGAGAAGGAATAATAGAGAGATGGGAAGAGAGCACGAGGTCCAAAATAAAATGGTGGGCAAGAGCCAGAAGAGATGCGCGCCATATTTAGGCCAGAGACACAGCTGTGTCCGAACCCGTGGCGGCCGGCTTGGTTACACCGACACCCTCTTCCCCCACCTCCACGGGTTCGGACCATTTTATTCATTCTATGTGCTATTACATTGACCAGCAGTTGATAGATGTTATAGTTATAACTGTAAGCCGTCACACTGGGCACAATTTAGGGTCAACCTTTAATGCAGACTCATAAACTTGGTACTGGAGTTGAATTTGTGAAATTCTTAATATGCATAAAAGCATCGCATTAACTTTTAGATGTATAAGAAACTATATATTTTGAATGAACGCACACACAAGCGTGCACATATTTGCACACAAGTAAACATGACAGTATGGTGTGTTAACGTGAAATACCAGCTATATGAAATTGCTAATTATATTTTTGTCACAAATATTAGCAGTCTTAATACTAAGACTTCAGGAACAAAGGGTACAATTATTATTATTATTATTATTATTATTATATTATTATTATTATTATTATTATTATTATTATTATTATTATTATGGATGTTGTGCTTGTTGTTTGTCAGTATGAAGGAAGGATATATACATCCCATTTTTTTAGGTATAAAAAGAATTATACCTTCCTACTGACAATCTATTTAGCATTTATTCGATTGACAAATTATTTTTATATTCCTGGAGAAGCACTAAACTAAAAAAGAGGGGGGCGTACAGCCCCACCTACTGTCATGATTTGATTACAATTACTTTTCTATATTTAAATTACAATGCCCTTAGATAAGCGAAAATACATCTCGTTGAACGGAGTGGGAATCAAGCCTTTGGCAAGCCAGCTCGTTAATCACCGTATTATGTCGGGATTCTAAATTTCAACAAGATGGCGACTGTGAAAATTAAAAGATAGGGTAGACAGTTATAGAATGGTCCTCTGCTAAAACTGTCTACCCCTACTAACTTTCACAGTCGCCGTCTTGTTGAATCATCCCATATACACAACTTCCCTTGTAGAATTATAACATTCACTCTGTTAGTTTTATTTCTATACACACTAGGAAATTTAACATAGGCTCCGCTGTGACTATAAATACAGATTCATTACAGATGAATCTAACACCAAGCTATCAATCATTAATCTTACAAGGTTGTAAAAGTGGGACTTACCGGCAATACTACCTGGGATTCTGAGTTTTATTTCTGTCTTCGTACGCTGCCTACTTGTCTTCAAAACAGTTTACCCCAAAGATGAGAAAATATTAGTTTTGTGTATTTCTACTTTGGTCTGATGTCATCTTTAGTAACCATCACGTGGAGACAAAGACAAGTTTTCCTGTATATATTGAGTCTGGTTAAATCAAGCTATCATTGAAGATATATGCCAAGAAGTACATATGTCAGTCAATATGTGAGAGAAAGCATCAAATAGCTAGGAGTTTTCTATAATAAATAATAACTTATTTGGCGAGAAATATTACACAATATTTCATTTACTAGCATTTAATCACTCAGTTGAGCATATGTAAGCAGGAACCTAAGCCAGAAGATATATTATTATTTAAACACATGATTGGGACAACATATGGGCGTTGTAAATGCCATTGTTTGTACAAAACATAACGCCAATGGAAATAAGTCACTCTGATTTTTTTTTGAGTTATCCTAGGTTCTCTACACATATGTTGCTATATATGATAATCTGCTTAACTATTTGTGTATACCTGAATAAACATACTTGCCTATCTCGCTCACTTCAACTGTCACTGATGTTGTCATGGTTGGAAATAAGTCACTGACTTTTTTGGGTTATCCTAGGTTCTCTACACATATGCTGCTATGTATGATAATTCTGTGTGACTGTATTTGTGTATACCTGAATAAGCTTACTTACTTATCACTCAAGGAGCTGGTACTGATCCGGTACCCTGAATCCCTGATATCGGCTGAACCTACGATGCTCACCCAATGTAGCCTAAGCTGTGCCACTCTCCTTTAGTGTGTACAGTTATTTATAATTAAGGCACCTTGCAAGATGCGCCATGCTACGTACAATATATAAATCGAGTCTTCTCGAATCCATTCCTATGCTAAGGTAGATTACTACCTAAGTTAAGGCCAACGAAAGATCCTAAAAGTGAAAAAAATATTGCGAAGTATGATCTATATTAGATAATGGGTGGGAGGATCATCACCCACGCTGCCAGGTCCCAGACCAAGCCTCCTGCCTGGTTGATGGTCTGAACAGTTAGGCTTACTAGTAGCATATAATTCAGTGTAGGCACCACAGCTCGGCTTAGGAAATGACTCGAGGTGGAGATATGACTGGATTTATGAATGTATATCTGCAAATACAGCAAAACCGGAAGGTCTTGATGAGGCTGTCAGCTGCGTCTTAAGTTTGAATGTGAGACAAGTAAGGTACAGAAACGTCAGAACTTTAATAAGAGAAATAAAAATAACCACAATTCTTTACTGGGAGAGATGAGGAAAACCAGACCACAAATCCACGGATACGAACAAGCGTTTGACACAAGCAGATAATAGTAAAACCCAGAGAGCGGTTGCTTGCACTGGGACTGTGTGTGTTTTGTGCCAAGAACCAGCATTTGTGAGGCATACATACATGTGGCAGCTTAAACAGGCTTCCCACACACACAAGATTTACTGCCAACTGCAGTTATCTCGACGCAGTATATGGAAATTGGCACAAGTAAGAATCTCATTGAAGAAAACTAGCCTCTGACTACCCATCACTGATATTTTAAAGCATTTATTACACAGTATTTCATTGTATATTTAAATGAATACGAGTAAAATGCTTTAAGAATAAATATTAACAAGTTAGTGAAGATAAATGACGAAGTCAGTTCCCGGTGGTGTCAAGTGTGTGTCCAGTCCCTGCGCCTCATTTATTATATTATTTGGGAAGCGCTAAATCTTAAGGAGCCATACAGCACTTGGGAAATGGAAGGAAATTAGGTTTGATTCGAACAAGGGGAGAATAGCTTCAATTCTCTGAATCAAGAGCCCTTCACCGGCATCCAGGCATTCCCCTTGAAGGGCCGTACTTTTCAAGCAGTATAAGTTTATATTAATTTTTATATTTTCCAATTACAGTCAATCAGAAATATGTAAATCCTCTTAAAAGTTATATATAAAATATACACACACCCCTTGTTATATAATATACACACACCCCTTGTTATATAATATACACACACCCCTTGTTATATAATATACACACACCCCTTGTTATATAATATACACACACCCCTTGTTATATAATATACACACCCCTTGTTATATAATATACACACCCCTTGTTATATAATATACACACCCCTTGTTATATAATATACACACACCCCTTGTTATATAAGTTTTTTAAGTTAATTTGAAGAGTTCTGGGCTGGTTTTAAGGGAGACTTAAATATATATTTTTTTTCAGGGCGCTATTGTCGTTGCTTTTGGCTATGATGGTGCTGTTTGCACGCACCTCAGCCTGGGACCTGTTCGGCGCTGGTGACGACGATGATGAGTGAGTATCTGATGTGTGTGTGCCAGTCTGGGTCAGAATGATAAAGATATACATGTATGTTATAGTTTATTAGGTCCTACACCCGTGGTGGAGGCTCGATTCTCTGGCCGGTGATTATGTGATGATTACAACGATGGTGATGGTTGTGGTTGTAGGGGCGGTTACTGGTGATAACTGAGGCAGTTGTGGTCTTTGTGCAAGTGGTGGTGTTGGTGCCGGTAATAGTAGTAGTGATGATGATGGGTGTGTTGGTGATGGTGGCTTTGGTGGGAAACGCCAACAAAACAATAGATGGTGTGTGTGAGGGGAACGTTAACTCAAAAGTGATGTCTGAGAGGGAAAAAACACACTTGCAAGTTGTTAGCAAAGGGAACCCCCAACACAAAAGTAGTAGTACCTATGAAGAGAATTCCCACTCATGGAGGAGCCTCTGCTTTCTACTGAAGAGAAATAATAATCGATGACGAAGATAAAAAAAATGAAGATTAAAAAAATCGTACCTTTCTCTCAATTGAGTTGTTTGTTTTGATTAATCTTCCTTACCACGTCGCTGAGTGAGCTGGTAGTCTTAAGAGGCTCACAGCTTTTATCTTAGCCTGGGAAATGTGGTTGATGGTTGAAAGGTGGTGACGCTAGTGAAGGTGGTGGCAGCTGTAGTGGTGGTGGCGGCAGCTGTATGGTAGTGGTAGTGGCAGCTGTAGTGGTGGTAGTGGCAGCTGTATGGTAGTGGTGGTGGCAGCTGTAGTGGTGGTGGCGGCTGCTGTATGGTAGTGGTAGTGGCAGCTGTAGTGGTGGTAGTGGCAGCTGTATGATAGTGGTGGTGGCAGCTGTAGTGGTGGTGGCGGCTGCTGTAGTGGTGGTGGCGGCTGCTGTATTGGTGATGGTGGCGGCGGCTGCTGTAGTGGTGGTGGTGGCAACTGTATGGTAGTGGTAGTGGCAGCTGTAGTGGTGGTAGTGGCAGCTGTATGGTAGTGGTGGTGGCAGCTGTAGTGGTGGTGGCGGCTGCTGTATTGGTGATGGTGGCGGCGGCTGCTGTAGTGGTGGTGGTGGCTGCTATAGTGGTAGTGGTGGCATCTGAAGTTGTGGTGCCAGCGGCAGTGGTTTTGGTTGTGGTGGTTACAGCTGTAGTGGTTGTGGTGGTGTTGGTGTTCGGTCATTGGGAAAAGCAGAAATACCATATGACCTCGACAATTGGGAAAGGGAAAAGGGGTCGATTCATAAAGTTCGACCTAGGTTTATCAGGTTGACAGTGGAATGTTCAGTGATTTCTTTCTGGTCCTTCAGATGTGGTCTTGTCTGTAAGGTGACCTAAGAATCTGAAGCTGAGATCATTAACCGAATATATATGATTCCAGTAAATGTTTGTTGACGCTATTCTTTTTTTTTCCAGTGATGATGATGATGATGACGATGATGATGACAATGATGATGATGATGACGACGACGACGATGATGATGATGATGATGATGATGACGACGACGACGATGACGACGACGGGGACGGGGACGATGATGATGACGACGATGATGATGACGATGATAATGATGATGACGACGACGACGACGATGATGACGACGATGATGACGACGATGATGATGACGACGATGATGATGACGACGATGATGATGACAACGACGACGACGATGACGACGACGATGATGACGATGACGATGATGATGACGACGATGATGAGTAGCTATAAATCCCTCCAGGCGTCCCGTCCCTCACCAGTGGTACCTCTGCTCTTGTTGCTGCGGTAACAGTTGAGATACCAAAGAGGAAAGGGTTAAAAAAAAAATTTTATTTCATATTACACTAATCGTATTATTTCCCCGTCATTGTTGCTCGTTCGTCATCGCTTGGTAACGTCCCTCATCGTTTCCACTAACGTCGTCCACAAAGGCAATTCACTCGTCAGCGGGCAACAGCGCCGCCCATACTTCATGCCAATCATCATTATTCTCATCATTATTACATTCATGGAAAGCGCTAAACCCGTAAAAACAGTTATACAGCCAATCATCATTGTGCTCAAACTCATCGTTTTTGCATTTCAAACTCGCACAGACAAATTTATCTTAATATAATGTCTTAACTTCGGTGACTTGTGACTTGTCGTAACACACTCATACGTTCATTGTCGTAAGTTAGCAGGAGATGCAGTGAAACTGGAGATTTTTATCTTTTATTCGTCGTCACGCTAAGGAAAAGAGAAAAAAATTCCATCCTCTCAAGAGATTTCACATGACAGTCCGTAGCCGTCAGTAGTGGATAAGAGTCCCCTCGTTTCCTCGACATACCAAAATATTTATGGTGACAGTAATATATTAGTGAAGAAAACTAAAGCACCGTGCGACTCATGAGCCCCAGCGTGTGCTCCTTATTTTGTACAATCAATAAATATTCCGAAAAAAAAAATATAAGTAGACTTTTATTTCTATGTCCTAAGTAGTATTAATTATTATTATTAAACAAATATCAGACATCAGCATTGTATTGATACCCTACAGACTTCTATATAGGGGGCACGCAGATTCAATTTTTTTCAATTAATGGCTAGTTTTTCACTATTATTTGGAAAAGTGACCACAAAAGCCCAGTATTAGAAGAAATTTCACATTTATACTTAATACCACATGTTTTTATAATGATTTATTTGATTTCTTAAGCGTCTTATAATTTCTAAACCCATTCAGATTTAAATTCCGGCATATTATTATTATAATAAAAAAGAAGCGCTAAGCCAAAATTCAGGCATAAGCTCCTCCCTCACAGACTGAAATAGCGCTATTGCTATTGCACTAATACAGTAGCATTAGTGCAATAGTAAACGTACATTAGTACTAGTGCTATTATGCTAGCACTAATGAGCTTGGCCAATCACTAGTGCTATTCTACAAGCATTAATTTATGTTTGGCATTGCACTAGTGTAATATGACTAGTGCATTAGGTCCAGTACAGTAGTACTAGTGTTTATGTATACGTAAGAAACAAAAAGGCACAGTACCATGACTGGAACAATACACAAATAACCCGAACATAGGAGAGAGAAAAGTTTACGAGACAACGTTTCGGTCCGACTTGGACCATTTATGTATACATGAACGGAAATAGTAGTCCCAATTTTTAAAAAAGGGGACAGACAAGAAGCACTGAACTATAGACCAGTGTCACTGACGTGTATAGTATGCAAAGTCATGGAGAAGATTATCAGCAGAGTGGTGGAACACCTAGAAAGAAATGAGCTTATCAACAACAGCCAACACGGTTTCAGGAACGGGAAATCCTGTGTCACGAACCTACTGGAGTTCTGTGACATGGTGACAGCAGTAAGACAAGAGAGAGAGGGGTGGGTAGACTGCATTTTCTTGAATTGTAAGAAGGCGTTTGACACAGTTCCACACAAGAGATAAGTGTAAAAGCTGGAAGACCAGGCAGGGATAACAGGGAAGGCACTACAATGTATCAGGGAATACCTATCAGGAAGACAGCAACGAGTCATGGTACTCGGCGAGGTGTCAGAGTGGGCACCTGTGACGAGTGGGGTTCCACAGGGGTCAGTCCTAGGATCGGTGCTGTTTCCGGTATTTGTGAACGACATGACGGAAGGAATAGACTCCGAAGTGTCCCTGTTTGCAGATGATGTGAAGTTGATGAGAAGAATTCAATCGGATGAGGACCAGGAAGAACTACAACAGGATCTGGACAGGCTGCAGACCTGGTCCAGCAATTGGCTCCTGGAATTCAACCCCACCAGGGTATAAGAAGCAAGATCGCCACCCATCTAGAAACCCATCAATTACACAACCCAGGGCAACATGGGTTTAGAACAGGTCGCTCCTGTCTGTCTCAACTATTGTATCACTACGACAAGGTCCTAGATGCACTAGAAGACAAAAAGAATGCAGATGTAATATATACAGACTTTGCAAAAGCCTTCGACAAGTGTGACCATGGTGTAATAGTGCACAAAATGCGTGCTAAAGGAATAACAGGAAAAGTTGGCAGATGGATCTATAATTTCCTCACAAACAGAACACAAATAGTAGTAGTCAACAGAGTAAAGTCCGAGGCAGCTACGGTGAAAAGCTCTGTTCCACAAGGCACAGTACTCGCTCCCATTTTGTTTCTCATCCTCATATCTGACATAGACAAGGATGTCAGCCACAGCACCTTGTCTTCCTTTGCAGATGACACCCGAATCTGCATGACAGTGTCTTCCATTGCAGACACTGCAAGGCTCCAGGCGGACATCAACCAAATCTTTCACTGGGCTGCAGAAAACAATATGAAGTTCAACGATGAGAAATTTCAATTACTCAGATATGGTAAACACGAGGAAATTAAATCTTCATCGGAGTACAAAACAAATTCTGGCTACAAAATAGAGCGAAAAAACAACGTCAAAGACCTGGGAGTGATCATGTCGGAGGATCTCACCTTCAAGGACCATAACATTGTATCAATCGCAGCTGCTAGAAAAATGACAGGATGGATAATGAGAACCTTCAAAACTAGGGATGCCAAGCTCATGATGACACTCTTCAGGTCACTTGTTCTATCTAGGCTGGAATATTGCTGCACACTAACAGCACCTTTCAAGGCAGGTGAAATTGATGACCTAGAAAATGTACAGAGAACCTTCACAGCACACATAACGGAGATAAAACACCTCAATTACTGGGAGAGCTTGAAGTTCCTGAACCTGTATTCCCTGGAATGCAGGTGGGAGAGATACATGATTATATACACCTGGAAAATCCTAGAGGGACTAGTACCAAATTTGCACACGAAAATCACTCACAACAAAAGCAAAAGATTTGGCAGACGATGCAGCATCCCCCCAATGAAAAGCAGGGGTGTCACTAGCACGTTAAGAGACCATGCAGTAAGTGTCAGGGGCCCGAGACTGTTCAACTGCCTCCCAGCATACATAAGGGGATTACCAATAGACCCATGGCAGTCTTCAAGCTGGCACTGGACAAGCACCTAAAGTCGGTACCTGACCAGCCGGGCTGTGGCTCGTACGTTGGTTTGCGTGCAGCCAGCAGTAACAGCCTGGTTAATGAGGCTCTGATCCACCATGAGGACTGGTCACAGACCGGGCCATGGGGGCGTTGACCCCCGGAACTCTCTCCAGGTAAACTCCAGTTTATGGGACGACGGTGCTACTTACCACCAGACATCACTTACATTATTATTATAATCAAAAAGAAGCGCTAAGCCACAAGGGCTATACAGCGCTGCAGGGTAGGGAAGGAAGCGAGGGTATTGGATGGCAGAAGGGAGGAGGGATGATCAGCAGGTTACAGAAAACAGCGGGGCAGGGGATAGTACAGGGGTAGAGGGTAGCAAGAGATTGAAGTAGAAAGGGCTGAAGGTATCAGAATTTGTGAAGTAAGTCAGTTGTTGTCAAAAAGTCAATGAGAGAGTCCGGATGAAAGGTGGGTCCATCAGCGAGAAGGGAAGGTAAAGAGAGAGTAGCGGAGCGAAGACGACGACAGAGGTAAATTCTGCGTGCTCGTTGATAAAGTGGGCAGTCCAACAGAATGTGGCTGACTGATAATGGAGCTTGGCAATTCTCACAGAGAGGAGCAGGACGCCTCTCCATGAGATATCCATGAGTAAGATGAGTATGGCCAATGCGAAGACGGGAGAGAGTAGTCTCCCAACCTCGACACTGGTGATAAGAAGACGGCCAGTAACCTATACTCGGTTTAATAGATTGAAGTTTGTTGCCGAGCATAGTAGACCAACGTTGTTGCCAACGGGTGTGAAGGTGGGAAGATATTGCAGCAAAATAGTCCGTAAATGGAATACCTCTATAAGAAACTGGTAGGTCATGTACTGCTGACCATGCAGCAGTGTCTGCCTGTTCATTGCCCTGTACGTCAACATGACCAGGGACCCAACAAAAAACAATATCTTTATGCTTGGTAAAGATGTGGCGTAGCCAAAGTTGGATACGGAGGACTAAGGGGTGAGGTGTATCAAATTTTTGTATAGCCTGTAAAGCACTAAGGGAGTCTGAGACAACCACAAATGATGACACAGGCATAGATGCAATACGGATAAGTGCTGTAAGGATGGCATACAATTCAGCAGTAAAAATACTAGCCGAAGATAGTAAATGCCCTTGTACGACGCTGTCCGGAAACACTGCTGCGAATCCTACGCCGTCAGAAGACTTAGAGCCATCTGTGTACACAGCAATGGCATGAGAATGAGAGTGAAAGTGGTCAAGAAAAAGAGAGCGGGAAGCGACCGTAGACAGTTGGGCTTTCGAGCAAGGGAGGGAGAAAGAACAGACTCGAACAGCTGGAACTTCCCAGGGGGGTAGGGAAAAGTGAGATGCTACATGTACATAGAAAGGTGGTAGATGAAGAGAAGACAAGAGCGAATGAAGGCGAAGAGAGAAGGGACGGAGTAAACAGGGGTGGCGAACAAATAAAGAATGTCTACTAATATCAGTGACCATTCTATAAATGGAAGGATTGTGGAGATCATGAGAGCATACATAGTAGCGCAGGCAATGGGCACCACGACGATAGGATAAGGATGGAACGTTCGCTTCTGCATAGAGGCTCTCGACAGGGGAAGAGCGAAAAGCACCAAGGCATAAACGTAATCCTTGGTGATGAATGGGGTTAAGGCTAGAGAGAGTAGCAGGAGATGCCGCTGAATAGATCTGGTCACCATAATCAAGTTTCGATAAAATAAGGGTGGAATGTAGGCGAAGGAGGGTTCGACGATCAGCTCCCCATGAAAGATGAGCAAGGGTTTTAAGAAGGTTCAGCCGGCTGTGACAAGTTGCCTTCAGAGAGGTAATGTGAGGTTTCCAGGATAACCTACGATCAAAGAGGAGGCCCAGAAACTTGACTGTATCACGTTCAGGGATACGGGAGCCATAGAGGTACAAAGGATGATCGGAAATGACAGAGCATCTAGTGAAAGTAATTTGGTGGGTTTTAGTGCTGGAAAATTTAAACCCACGTGTGGTGGCCCAATTGGAAACACGGTCGACTGCATGTTGGAGAGAAACTGTAATGAGGTGACAGTCAGCGCCTGCACAGGCAATAGCGAAGTCATCAACATAGAGTGATGACCAAATATTTGATGGAAGACTAGAGGCCAAATCATTAATAGCAAGGAGAAAAAGTGTTGTGCTCAGAACACATCCCTGGGGGACACCTTCAGCTTGGATAAAGTCCGGGGAGAGCACATTATTAACCCGAACACGGAAATGCCTGTCAGTTAAAAAGTTCTTAAGGAAGGATGGTAGATTGCCTCGAAGGCCTAAGGAGTGGGCTTGGGCTAAAATATTATACCTCCAAGTTGTGTCATATGCCTTCTCAAGGTCAAAAAATATGGCAATAACTGAGTGGTTATTCGCAAAGGCATTATGAACATACGTATCCAAGC